CCCCCCCCCCCCGCTACAATTGTGTGGATGATGTATGAAATGTCGATTTCAATATGTCCTAAATACATTATAAAAAATAAACATCAATGGATAATAATGAGACGGGAAGGAAACCCCGTCCTAAGCCCTGATTGGCTGGAAGGTGTGAAATCTCACACTCTCTGGGGTAATCCCTGTCTTCTCATTGGTCGACAGACGGACCTTTCACACCTTCAGGAGGATCACGTGATCACAGATTAATAAACCCAAGCGCTAGTTTACGCTTTAGATAAATACAGGGTTAGCCAACACTGTTAAAAACTACTCAAACGCACAATGCAAAATATGAGTAGCTATGTACAGTGATAACCAGAAAATTCTGGAATAGGAAGTCGACTTTTAGACTCTTGAGTTATTTCTTTTATTGCACAACAAATATTATGCGTAATTGAATGAAATCGATAAATATCAATTTAATTCATGACATTTGTTGATTCTGTTGTTCAGTGCCCAGATTTGGTCGTATTCTACAGGGGCTGATACAGGATTTAAGTGAGGGGGGGGGCAATATTTTTTAGGAACAAAAAATGAATAATTAGGAACAAAAAATCGTGCCGCATGGTGAAAATTTTTTTGACTNATCAAAGATAATATATATATAGATATGCAGGCAGGTAGAAACCTCCTTCCTAAATTGCTTGTAGCAGACAACTAATTTTTGAACCTCTGAGAAAATGTGCAAGGAGAGACATCTATAGCAAATTGATTACTTTCTATATTCCTTTCTCCCCTTGCTGCTATCTGTAGGAAATACGCATTTGTGTTATATAAACATACAGTACGCGTATTGCATCCTGTATAGTTTAAGTGTTGCTATCTGGACCTGTTTGACCAATAAAATTAAATTTCTAGGTAACACAAACATTTAGTACGCGTTTTTTTTTATGATATGATCAGTTGTACTTAGTAAAGATATAGTAGACAAACAGAAATATTGACAAACCTTTGGAAATTATTTTATAGTTGTTAAATAAGTGATCTATTTAATCTTATGGTTTTAATGAGATATTTAAATAAAATTAGATTTTTTAATTGGTACCAAAATATGCAATTAAGATCTCTGCCGAATTTTCAAAAACTAAATTTTTATTCATGAAAACTGAAAATGTGCAAATTCTTTTTAGAGGCATTTGTGCAAAAAAAACTATGCAAAATTTCGTTGCAAAAATTGTGCAATCGGCTTTCTTTTGTTCCAGGATTTCCAGTTCAACTTGCTCATTGCTCATTGCTCTAGTCAAATTCCTACCTCAGTTTTATTTGCATTGATTAAATTGTTTCATTAAGTACAATATGCAGTATATATTGTTGATACTATANTCCGTTAACGGCATTTTCCGTTTCTTTTAATTATCGTTATTTAACTATCTCAATTTTATTGACAGTGTTAACGGACAATTTTCAACAATTGTTAACGATTCTAGCTGTTAATGGTACTGTTATTACAAAAATAACGGCGTTAATGGAACAAATTTCGTTAATGGTTAAAAAAATCGTTAATAGCACAGCCATTAACAGTATATTACAGTATTAACGGCGTTAACGGAAAAAAATCTCCGTTAACGGCACAGTTAATTTTTTTCTTCAAAAACGGTTAATCCGTTTCGTTATTGATTTAATTAACGGTTTTTGCCTTTAGTTAACGGACTCTTCCGTTAATTTTCGAAAACCTCCGTTTCGTTAACGGAATTTCGTCCAGCCCTAGTTAGAGGGTGTTATGAATATAAGGAAACAGACAGTGTAAATTCCGTAAAATCGTCTCTGAAGTCTCATTCTTTCTCGGTAACTCTGTATCTTTACAATATGATGGCGTAAACCTTTGCAATTTTAAACTAAAAGAATTCATAGTTTGAATATCACAGGTCTTTGATATTAGGTTTCAAAGATATAGGGATTGAAAAAATCCGACTTTGTTGTAAAACAGAAAATAAAAAATATTAGATCTTTATGTTTAGTTAGTTTAGTGTTTAGTTAGTTTAGTGTTTAGTTAGTTTAGTGTTTAGTTAGTTTAGTGTTTAGTTAGTTTAGTGTGTCCCAGGGTTGCAAAGCAATATATTAAGTATGAGCAGATGCTAAACAAACGTTTTTTCTACTTTATCAGATAATAGGAGCAAAGAATGGGAGCTGTTAAAATTAAAAAAGATTAAACTAAATATTTGAAATAATAAACAGTAAAAAGACCCGCTGCAATTTCCAATTAGGGGCGTTTAGATCTCCCGCACTGATATAATTGAATAATAATGGGGCGTAATTTATCTAATAAAAATATACGATAATAATTATAATTAAAATAATATAACACTTGTTGTTGAGAGCTTGCTTTGTTCAATATTTTCTTATTTTTTTAGAGTTCTATTGTTTAAATATCTATTCAGTTCAGATAAATTTTTGTATTTCTGTTTTAATATCTGTTGTAATATCTGTTTTTAAATCTATTTGAATATCTGTAATCTGAATATTAGTTTGAATATCTAAATATATCTGTTTTAATATCTGTAATCTGAATATTAGTTTGAATATCTAAATATATCTGTTTGAATATCTGTAATCTGAATATTAGTTTGAATATCTAAATATATCCGTTTGAATATCTGTAATCTGAATATTAGTTTGCATATCTGAATATATATGTTTGAATATCTGAATATATCTGTTTGAATATCTGAATATATCTGTTTGAATATCTGAATATCTGCTTGAATATCTGTTTGAAAATGATTCTAAATATCTGTTTATGAAAATGAAAAGAATGAATATGGGAAATAAAGTTGTCAGTTTTCTCAAATATGCTTTAGATCTCTCCGAGTTTATCTGACATGTATTGATAATAATATACTTTCTTAGGAAATTGTAGAAAACTTTCCCAGGGTCAATTCATATATTTTTGAAAAATTGGATATAAAAAGGCAAGATTTTTTAATGTTTTTTTGCGTTTTCCCCGAAATTCATTTTTCCCCAATTTAAACATTTAATCAAGAGAAGCTATGATACAAAATATGAAATAGCATCAGAGCTCTCACCTTGACCGATCCTTGTTATCTCTGAGCTTGGTTTATTAGACGGAGATGAGAATACAAAATATTGAAATAATTAGTTCTAAAATCCGTTTTGATGATTTAACATCAACTAAACTATATCAAGAAGAAAGCAGGTTGGCGTTTATATTCCTTCAAAACTAATAAAAGTAAAACCATAAACTTGGTAATTATGCTACATGACTTTATTTAATTAACTCCTGCAGTACTCTTTCCTTCCTTCTTCTGTGGCCGGCCTTTTCCTCTACTTTTCTCCCGCCAACCTTTCTTACACATTTTTACTCCTTTCTTCCTCTTTTGCTTCTCTTTCATCTTTCATTTCTCCTTGTTTCTGTTCTCCGCACCCCTTCTTATTTCTCCTTGTTCCTATTCTCCACACACCTTGTTATTTCTCCTTGTTCCTGTTCTCCGCACTCCTTCTTTTTTCAACAATCACCTTTCTTTTACTTCCTTCCATCCTTATTCATTCCTCCTTCCCTCATACAAGATCATTTCTATCTTCTCATTCTTTCCTTTTTTCCGCCTTCCTTTCACCATACTTTCTTCTTAGTTTCCTTTATCTCTTCTTAGTTTTCTTTCTCTCTTCTTAGTTTCCTTTTTTCTTCTTGGTTTCCTTTCTTTTTTCTTAGTTTCCTCTCTTTCTTCTTAGTTTCCTTTCTTTCTTCTTAGTTTCCTTTCTTTCTTTTTAGTTTCCTTTCTTTCCTCTTAGTTTCCTTTCTTTCTTCTTAGTTTCCCTTCTTATTTCTTAGTTTCCCTTCTTATTTCTTAGTTTCCATTCTTTCTTATTATTTTCCTTTCTTCTTAGTTTCCTTTCTTTCTACTTAGTTTCCTTTCTTTCTTCTTATTTTCAGCTTTCTGTCTACTAAGTTTTCTTTCTTTCTTCTTATTTTCCTTTCTTTTTTCTTAGTTTCCTTTCTTATTTCTTAGTTTCCTTTCTTTCTATTTAGTTTCCTTTCTTTCTTCTTATTTTACTTTCTTCTTAGTTTCCTTTCTTTCCACTTAGTTTCCTTTCTTTCTTCTTATTTTCAGCTTTCTTTCTACTTAATTTCCTTTCTTCCTTCTTATTTTACTTTCTTCTTAGTTTCCTTTCTTTCTTCTTATTTTCCTTTCTTCTTAGTTT